CCTAAAGGCCTCAGGGGGCCGCATCCGGCCCCCAGGCCGCAGGTTGCCTACCCCTGGTATATTGCAACCTAATTTCCAGAAAGAAACTCATAGAGGACAGGAAGAAAGCATGAAATAGAAACAAAAACAGAAGTGATGTGTTGACAGTTTGTGCACTACTGGCAATGAGGAAGTGTCTGCAAGCTATTTTTTAAAGAGAGGTTAAAAAGGCCATTTAGAGGAGGGAAAACAAAAAGCATTGAGAGAGTCTAAGGAACAAATAGCCCAATCTGGAGAACATAAAAGATAGCATACAGCAGAAGGTAGTAATGGGAATTGTTGAAAGGCACCAAGCACACAATGTTCCTACAATACACAGGATGACTGGGGAGCAATGAACAGCATGCTAAAAGAACCCAATTCCCATTGTATATGCAAGCAATACAATCTAAGCAGGATTTCTTCTGATACCACCACAGTCTACCTCTCCTCTGAAGTCTCTCTTCTGCCTGTCTAAGGTGTCTGTCTCAGAAACCATCCTCATTTCTGTTTCCATTTGCACACAGAGGCATGTCCCTGCCAGAACAGCTGCAACAGACTCCATTTTATAAATGTAACACATCATGTCTTCCCCATGAAATCTCCTTTCACAAGTACTGTTATATATAGATAATATAAATCTATATGAATTATTCAGTTTCCCCCTTTACAAAATTTTATTTTTTAAAAAATAAAAAAGCTAAAGGAGCAATCCAGGTTGAAATTTCCAAAGGTACAGTGGCATCTTAACCCCTTCCCCTCCACTAGTTTTATAATTACCAATAAGGATCCCATAACCCATTTTTAGATATGTGAAAACAAACAAATAAGTTCCTTTCTTTCAGCCAGAAAGGAAATGGGGGGGCGGGTAGTTAGAAGAAAAGAAATGGGTGAAGAAGAAAGGATTAAGACTCAACCCAATGAAAAGTGCAGCCTGGAAACCAGTTTTAGATTGCTTGCCCACTATATATATTTTTTTCTTCAGTTATTTTCATTCTATTCAAATATTATTTTTCTTTATTGATTGTTAAATAAATGTAAATATTGTTGGGTTTTTAAAAGGCATGAAAGGAGTGTTGTAGGACAATTGTACAATCTCAACAGTGGATTCACTCTTTCCCAACTACAGTGGCCCTTGGTATCAAAATTCATGGATGCTCAACTCCCATTACATACAGTTGTACAGTAATGGTGTCCTTTATATAAAATGGAAAAATCAAGCTTTGCTTTTTGAAATTTATATATTTTTAATATTTTCAAGCCATGGATGGTTGCATCTGTGGATAAAGAAACTGTGAATGTGGAGGGAGAACTGTACACTCACCCCAAAATTCAAAATATGGGCATAACATAAAGCATTTCAATACTTCCAGTATTTGTTTTCAATCGGCTCAACTTTATGACTGTTGCTGTGTCCCAAATGATGTGGAACATAAATATGTATTACTATTCTTTTTGCTTTATAAAGTGAGTAGTAAGGGGTTATGTTGAAAAGACTAGCAAATGAAATGTCAAGTCTCCGGCAATCCAGAAAATAAAACACCTCGATTTGATTTTCCATCAATACATGCCATTAATCTTTTGAAGGAGCCCTATGCATTAATTCAGCTAACTGTTTATGAAGGGGGAATTTTTATTAGACAGAGCTCTGTTCTTGCAATCCAAATCAGATTTACAGAAGTTCAGATTTCAGTATAACATAAAATGTGAATCATTTATCCTGTATCAGGCTGTACAATAAACATATATCAGAAAGCAGTGAAGATCTATAATGCTCATTTTTATTGTGACATCCCCCATAAACATCCTTCCTGACAAAAAATGTGCATACTGCCAGCATTTAATCAATGCCCCAAACATGGAACTTTCCGTATTGAGCCAATACACCACTATCGCGTTTTGCTGTTGTTGTTGTTGTTGTTGTTGTTGTTGTTGTTGTTGTGTGCCTAGAAACCATTTCCAACTTATGGCAACCCTATCACGGGGGTTTTTTTGGCCAAGATTTGTTCAGAGAAGATTTGCCCATGCCTTCTAAGTCTCAGAGAGTTTGTCCTTCCCAAGGTGCCCCAGTGAGTTTCCATGGCTGAATGGAGATTCGAACCCTAGTCTGCAGAGTTGTAGTCCAACACTCAAACCACTGCACCATACTGGCTCCACCACTACCACTGAAGGTATTCTAACTTTACGTGGGAGTAATGCCATTTAACTCAGGAACACTGATTTCCCATTGAATACACAAAGGATTAGGCCTTTAGGCATCAATGTGCTAAAGGATATATTAGTTATAGACTTGTCATTTATCTTATTGGCTTTCACACATAAATTTTACACCAAGTTATGTAGTGTTGTCTGAGTTCAGATTTCCACTGGGCCACAAAGTAGATTCAGCATCCTTGGCCAATCTCTATTCCTTAGCCTGACATGCCTAACATGGTTACCATGGAGAAAAGAGTAAACATTAATACTTACTGAAGTAAGTAAGGGATATGGAAGTAAGGAAATAAGTATTATACTTACCCTGAGGAGATTTCAAAACACAGAAAGAAATTATGTTGTAAAGGGGAAAACATGAGGATACTGACACAGATATACAGTCATGGAGCAATCTTGAGAAAGTCATTTTTCCCATCCTCACTAGCTTAATCCAACAGGGGAGAGACGAGAATAGTGACCATTTGCAAATCTGGCAGAACAAGGGAAATGTTATTCACTATAAGAATAAGATGCACTGTGGGAAAAAGGAAACCTCTAGGAACATTCAGTGCTTTGTGGTTTTGAAAAAATTAATGAGCAAAATGTTTTTCAAATGGATGCCATAAAATTCTGTCATTGTTATCGTTATATAAGGCATCAATCCAATTGCTACTCCCAGCTGGAATATACTAAGGCTGCATCCACAATGCAGAAATAATCCATTTTGACACCACTTTAATTGCTATGGTGCCATTCTATGGAATTCTGGAAATTGTAGTCTTGTCAGACATTTATGCCTTCTCTGTGAGAGAGCTCTAATGCCACAACAAACTGCAATTCTCAGAATTCCATAGCACTGAGCCATGGAAGTTACAATGGTGTCAAACTGGGTTATTTCTGCACTGCAGATGCAACCCAGATGAATCAACTGGATTTACACAAGTGCTGACTTACCATTCAACATTGGAGTCAATGGATCTACTCTAGTTCATATTAACTGTTGAATTTAGGATACAGGATCACTAGTGAAAAACTCTCAGCTCACTTTCCAGCTATTTTTAATGTGTCCCTGTTTCTCTCTCCTCCCATTTCCCCTCTTTATTCTCTTTATTCTCTGCCTATTCCAATTTCTAGAAAGTGAGTTCAAGTGCAGAAGTAGTTTGCACTCAACTTAGCAGGGGAGGGGAGAAGAGGGGTGGAACCTTGTCCTTCCCAGTAGACTCAAGCAAAAACAAACTGCTGTACCATCTTCTAGTTTATGTGTTCTTCCTCATTAATGCCTTTAGCCATCTTGACCACACTACAATGGTGTTTAGCCACACACATTCATTTTCATCTAACAAATGTTGAAAGGTATGCAGGAGATGCAGCTATTCATTAAGTACAACCTTCTCAGTAATGGGGATTAAGACATCTGAAATTATGAATTTAAGTCGAAAATCAGTGGTGTGTGTCAGGGGAGAGTGTCTGTTGGCCAAGCCTTTCATAACCCATTGCATGTTTTGAATACTAAAGAATATTATGAAAAAATACCTGGCTGTGGATCACTAGAGGTGGCCAACATAAGAGAAGACAGGGTGCCTTGATCCAGGTTTGGGAGGAGAGGAGAATTAGAAGATACGACTTTAAGATCTTCCACACTGCAGAAATAAAGCAGTTTGACACCACTTTACCTGTCATGGCTCCATCCTGTGGAATCCTGAGATTTGTAGTTTGGTGAAGTATTCAGCCTGGTCTGTCAGAAAGCTCTGGTGCCTCACCAAACTACAAAACTACAGATTATGTAGGACAGAATCATGGCAAAACTACAGATTCTGTAAGACAGAATCATGGCAATTGGAGTTATGTCAAACTATGTCAAACTATTTTAATTCGGCAGTGTGGGCACACCAGGAATGAAGATGGTTGGGGTAAAGGAATGGAAGAAAGCAGGATAAGGAATCTAGGCAGGATGGGGAAGGAAGCATACAGAGAGTTGCCTGACTACACGTGCTCACTTGCATTTACATTTTATTTTTCTTTGGTGCAACCCTTGTCTACCTATCTGTCATGGTGCAGCTCATTTCATTTTTAAAAGATGCTTTCTCTGAGAGCTAATTGAGCTTTATCAATGTGAGTGAACTGGTATCTGTCACTGACAGCCTGCAGAAGGCCATTTCTTCAATTGCATGAAAAGGACTAAAGAGTCAGACATGACAAACTGCAGCCCAGAATACCTGGCAGCCAGCCTATTAGTGCTGCAATGCCAAGATGCACAAATAAATTACTTATATAACATACACTCATTTTATTTCTGTCAGGAACCTAGCAGGCCAAAACAGGGGGTAGGAGCTTTAATTCTGTTCCTCCACCCCTCGCTCAATCAAAAGTGTGGTCACTGGAGCATTTCAGAAACCAAATGTATTCTTTGCTTTATCAGAAGTACAATTACTATCAATTAACAGCCTCATTCCATCTTGTATAGACAGCTTTATTTATTTTGTAATGCGTCAGTATTTCATGACAAACTGATTCAAGAAGCAGAGAGAACACTCTTCCTTGCAGGAACAAATAATTTAAAACAGTACATCCTGACCACATTCCCAGAGCAGGGAAGTAAATCTTCACTTCTTTTATCCTCACGTGCAAGAAGGAATCATTTCAAAAGTTCTCCTTCCATTAGATGAGATTGTGAGAGGTTTTTTGCACATTTCACTATTAATTGTATAAAATACAGTTTTATGTGCAAAATAATAATAATAATACTTTCTATACAAGGTTTTTTTCTTTGCAGAAAAACAAGGAGGGTTTTTTGCAAACAATTTTTTCACATACACACACATCCCAAGGTGCAAAAAATTCTTGTAGTGGTTCTTCATGAGATGTATCAGTATATAAGGACATACTTTTTCATTAAGGATGAGAACAATCATGGTTATTTTTTATATTCTTGCTCCAGAGACAATATGGAGAATTCCATGATTCAAACAGGGTTTCCACTGACTGATATTAAAAGAGGTCTTGCAGAGGGTCTCAGAGCCACATAGGATAGCCTCACCTAGTGAAGACCCATTCTATAGCCACACACACAAACAATCCCACAACAGAAATATTTCTCTCTAAGCACATTCAGTCAGCTGGGGAAAGGATATTACTTTTAAACTATTGTATGAGCACTGTAGTGAGCCAAGGTTGTGTAGTGGTTTGTACATTGGACTACAACTCTGGAGACCAGGTTCAATTCCTACTTGGCCATGAAACCTATTGGGTGAACTTGGGCAAGTCAGAGGAAGGTAATGGCAAACCTCCTCTGAACAAATCATTCCAAGAAAATCCCATGATAGGTTCACCTTAGGGGTCCATAAGTTGGAAACAACTTGAAGGCACACAACACACACGAGCACTGAGCTATTATCTACAAGAGAATCTCTGAGCCTCACACATCCATACATGGAGAAACGCTATGTGGCTTCCTTGTGACTTCATCTCCCTGTTGTTATTAGGGCAGATGTAAGAGACAGCCAATGAATACCAGGTGCTGCAAGGTATATTTCAAAGGATCGAACCGGCAAAACTACCTCTGCCTTAGAAACCCCTGTGAAATTCATTGGTTCCCTTTAGGTCAACAGGTGACTTGAAGGAACACACACACACAAAATCTTCACCCAACTCTACTGATGTCATGCCCAACTTGGCTGAGGACTCAGGGGAGGACTCGGAGTTTGAACTGGATCCTCAGTTTGAACCTGAGCCTGGCCCTAGTTCTGCCCTGAGAGCTCCAGCAGAGTCTGTGGCCTCAGAGGAGACTCAGCAGCCAGGCCTTCAGGCAGCAGAGCCTTCAGGCACAGGAGACATGGAGGAGGAGGAGGACATCAAAATACCTTCCTTTAACCAGAGAAGAGCTGAAAGGGCATGCCTCCAATGCTCAAGAAGGCTTTATGAGAAATGCCAGCTAATCTCAAAACAACTGAGCTAATGAGGGCTGATTATATAAACATGGCAAGGATGCCAGACTGATTGTCAGAGACAATGAAAGCATGCTTGTTCCTGACTGTACTTTATCGTCTCAGCTCAGACCTTTGACTCTTGGACTGCCTGACCATCTTTCTTCTCTGGAACCCTTGACCTTGGACTTCTTGACTACGTTCTCGGTTTGATCTCTTGGCTTGTTATTATGGACTCTTGTTATGGAACTTTGCCTTGCTTTAAATTTCACAAGCTCTGTGAGCCATTTCTTAATTTATTGTTTAAACTGTAGCTATCAGCATTTGGCTGCTTTCCTGGACAACTGAGTTTACCTGTTCAAAATCCATAGCAGGCTCATATTCCAACAGGTTTGAACCAAGAGATTTTCTACAGACATTAATCAATGGAAATTTATTTTAGCCCCACTGTTAAAACTAGAGGGCTTTCCCTATGTTCAACTCATTTCATCCTATGTTTCTTGAACCTCTTCCCATTGCTACTGTCTCACCAGCTATTGCAGAAATGTCCAAAGTCAGTGTGATGACATATTACTGTGACTAAATATCTTATGAATGTAATAGATTCTTCAATACCCTGTTATGATTACACATGTCTCAGCAGAACTTGAACAAATACAGTGACAGTATCAAAGTTCTGGCTCCACATATCAAAATATTTAATGTCTGTGCCAATAATGCCAATGTATGATTTTCTGGAATATAGAGTACTGTCATCACTGTTCCTCAACAGCTATTTCATCCAAGATTGAAAACTGTGGGTCAATAAAACCATTTCCTTTCACTTGCATGGAATCCTAGATATTCCCACTGCATACTTCAATACAAAAAAAGACAAGGCCATCTTTAAG